TATGAGAGAGTACATATTTTTAAATACCTTCCAGTTACTATGATGTTTTATTTTTTTTTTTAATATAGCTGTGTGTATTTCAGTGTCAAAGTTAACCTGTTAGATGGGTGAAGAGTTAACTAGCTGTGGTACATTCAGATGTACTTTTGAAGCATGGCTTAGCTGTGAGTTTTGTCCCATTCATTACGTGCTTGATTTTATGTTACAGTCAAAAGACAGTCTGATAGCATCTAGTGACCTCTTTTAATGAATGTTTTTTTTCTTTTAGGCAAGTATTTTAATTACTTTAAGGTAATAATAATGTTGGCAGATAGATGTATTGTTRAAATCTAGAAATTATCTGACAAACTTTGAAGCATATTCTAAGCATTTATAAGTAGAATGGAGTTTGATTAATTAGTATATTGTTTCTCTCTATATAGACACATGTACAATTGGTTAATAGAAAGAGGATGCTGTGGATCATTGAGCAGAGAGTCTGACAATCCATTTTTAGACAGAAGTCCAGAGCATAAATAGACATGAGCATATAAGGTCTGAGAGTTGATGTTTACTGCAGTTTATGAAAGCACGTTATCTATTATTGTTCTGAGTTGTCTTCATTCAGGGCACTTCACTCTGGTGCAGCAACAGAGCTTATGAAAGGAAAACCGGTGTTAAATATTGATAGGGATCACACAATAATCMTTACACTTCCTGTAAACAGCTCCTGTATGGGATTGGTATTTATTGGTATGTGCAGACTGTACTGTGCTCTCTGCACTGAAAGGTGAGGCCTTTAGTTGTATTTTGTTACTCTGATACAAACTCASTGGGTTTGTATCTTCTGAACTGCTTTTGCCTGCATTCTCATTTTAGGTACTATGAGGCATAGTTTGAGGACATGTATTCAGGCCCATCTAAGTATCTCACTTGATCAGTTGCTTMTTTTCCTTTTGGAACATGCTGGAACTCCCAGGGCGTGTTACACTATAACCTTTGAAGTGGAGACTGTCACAACTAGGTATTGGGGAACACGGAGAAGGTTAACATTTTAATTGTGGGATATGAGGGGGGAGGAGGCCAGTGGAAAAGCTATGTGTAATATCTGTTAATTACCCCTTCTGATGCTCTTTTTCAGATACAGGATGTGTGTCAGATGCAGTTGGTGCATCTTTGGCAATCATTGGAAACACCAGTGTGCCATGRAAAGAATAAATTAAATATAACTGCCTGTCTTTTAATATTTCCATTTTAAAACCCCAGGGTGTCAATGTTTAAATTGTAAGCAATACAAAATACATTTCAATTTCAGAACTTCTGTCTTATATGATAATGTCAAAACAGTTTACAAAACAGCTCAGGCCAAACCTGTCTAACTTAAACTGCCTTTAGCAGAATCTTGGGTTGTGCCAATCTTCCAGTTTRTAGTCTCATTAGTATTATTTATAATCAAAACAAATGTACCAGTTGAGGTTTAGAGGTCGTGTTGCTTTGCGAAGAAAATTGCTTTCTGTTAGCAAGGTCTGCTTCCAAAAAAATTAGCCTTATAGGTATTTAGGTGGAAGAGCTTTTGATCATGTTTGCCCTATGTCTTAATGCAACTTGAGATTCAGTAATACCGAGTAATCAGACTCAGTGTTATCAGACAGCTGAGAGGTCAGGACCCTTTTCATACTAATTTTCTTGATAATAGAAAGTAGAATTTCAGCAGTAGCTAAGATATTCTCAGTCATCTTCAGTGTTCAACATCCTGTCAGTACAGAAGTAAAGGATACAGGAAGTTKTAGAAACCCACTCTCTAAAAGTATTTTTTGCTGCTGTCAGTGTTGATAGAGCTATCTCAGCAAAGTAGTGTTGCAGATTCTGTGGTGGGAAAAAGCTAGTAGAGATGCAGTTGTTGTGGCTGCACTTGCTTTGGGGAAGTGTGGGATGTGTTTGATGCATATAAATCCATTAACAATTGCAATGGTAGTGCAGTTGTCAAAATGCTGATTTGCAAAAGGGAAAAGGTATGAATCCTTTTMGGTGGCAGGGCAAAATGGAAAAACATAATGCTATCTAATGGGATTTTTTCATTGATTCCAGTTTACTTAAAGTTCATTTCTACTGTTTGCAGACAACTGGGGAAAAGAATAGTATTAGTACAAACTTCGCACATAAATRAAAGGAAGCCTTTTTCTAGTAGTTTAGTGAAATTTACTTGATGAAGATTTTGAAATTACTTTTCATCTATATTGCCATGTACATTCTGCAGATTTGTTATTTACTTCCTTAAAAGGTTTTCAAACTTAGAGTATGTTGCACTAAGAATGAAACAATTTCTTTATGAAAGTAAATGAAAAAGAGAAGCCTTAAGGGTTTGGGAAAGTAGTGTTAAAGACTAGTTTTTAAAGGGATAGAATTACTAGATCARTAGTTATCAGTGGCCCAAGGTGATCCATGACATGCAGTAGGTAAGTCTGTTGTTACTATGTGAGGATCTGTGCTTTCACTGACTTGCCAGCTGAGAAATGTTGATAATTGCTAGGAGAGCATCCTCAAGCTCCCRAGAACTGCAGATGCAGTTTAGAACATTTTAAAATTCTTCTCTGATTGACTTCATGTCTCACTAAAAATATCTACATCTAGCAGAAGAAGCATCTTAAGTCTGATTTTTACAGGAGAGTGATGGTACAGGGTTAGATTAGATAAGCTGGCCTGTATTCTMTCTCTGGCATATATGGAAACATCATATATGTAGAGACATGTATGGTTTCTGCAAACATGTTTTTGGAGCCTTTCAAAATAACACTGAGGAGGTAAATAATACATGACAAAATACTAAAGAAGAATATGTAGTATGTGGTAAGGTGAGTGTAGGAATTACCTTTTTCTATAGATATTGAGGTGCAACATAACAGACCTAGTTGCATAGTTCTGTAATTTCTTGGGTAACTTATTCTTTTAAATYTACTGCATATTCCTCTGTCCTCTTTGTTCCTAATCTTGACTTTCCTTTGAGAAAGTCACAGGACTAATTGATGTTATACCCTGGCTGAAAATAACCTTCTCTTCCTACAAAGTCCTTTACTCCTATCCCTTCCCTGAGGATTTTTCTATACTTATATTCATTGTGACTTAGTTTCACATACTGTGTAACGAAATACGCTGCATGCAACACCTTTTCTCYCCTTTCCTCAGTGCTCTCTGATGCTTTTGTGGTGGATTTTTTTCTTGCTTGTTTGCTTTTTCAAGGTGATCTTGCTAGCTGCAGAATCTAATCAGGACCCCCCCTGTAATGCTTCTGCTTTATTTACCTGTAAAACCTCATTTGCTCATTTGTGGCTGGAGCCAGTTCATCATTTACATCCTGATATTTAGTCTGTGTGTATGTGTGTTTTATTTACTGTATTCCAATTGATGGCATGTTTTTTATACTGGCATCTCTTCAGTTGCTGAGGACTCATGCTTGTGTCAGTCTTGCTGCAGTTTTGATGGGAAAGGGTGCAATCTGTTTTTAATTTCAGCTAGTGTGTATCTTTATCCAGGCTGCTGTTTGAGTGGCCCTGTGAAGGAGAGGTGATTCATCTGCAATATGAAAATGTTGGGGACAATAGTGCGTGGAAGGAAAAAAAATACTGTTTATTTAAGGTGTAAAAGGAGCTGTGACCTACAGCACATACGCTTTAATATGTATATGTTGTTTTCATAATAAYAGTATCAATTTTACCAGTGAAGAGGTTGTGTTTCCCTACTGCACAGAGCACAGCCAAGTGAGGAACTGCTTATTTGGGAGCTAGGTTCTTTACAACCATATGCATGATGGAGTGCCAGTCCAATTCCCTCCTAAGGTGGTTTCTGACAAAAATGCAGAAAATTTCAAATTGAAATTCATGAGGTAAAAAAATACTTATTGACAGAAGTAATTTTTAATTTAGTAACATGATGTATGTTACAGACTCTCTGACATTGTGGTAGAATACATCAACTTTGAGATTTGAGATTTTCATTAAGTCATAGTTTCATTCTGCKGAATGTATGTTAGAATATGGAGATTAAAAAATAATGTTCAGCCATGGTGTTAATTTTMTTAAATACTTCCTCTGTTTATATACTTCTTTTTTAAATTCTTTTTTCTTTTGGTCAGCAGTAGTTTAGCAGMGATCTTATATTTGTTGGTATTTTCTGGCAAATTTCAAGTAAAACATCAAAAGCAGTCCCTGACAGACTAATTATTCCTTGGTTTTACTTAGGGCAAATTGATAAAAGGGTACCAAATGACAATTTGCTTTGTATATTAATCAATTTYAGGAGTATGTCTTCTTGTACTTGCTGTTTTCTGGGCTAGATCTGTGCTTTTTGTTTTAAAATTGGGTATCTTTAGGTGGCCATATRTACAGTTTAAGTAGTGCAATATCCCTTGTTTTAAAAGGCCATGAACCAGAGCATTCTTCAAAAAAAGTTTTAGATGTTGCYGATTATTAAACCTTCCAGCTCATCTGCCTTTTGAAAGTTATCACTTTTCTTCTTGTCCTTCCCCAATGTGTATTAAAGAGAAATACTACCAGAGAAAGTGACATTCCAAGTAAAAAATTAAGAATGCGTTCTTTGCCTCCATTGAAGTTTCCATGTGTCCATTTAGAGTTCATTGTTACTTGGATTTCTGAACTAATGTTACTGGTAAATACCTGTGTTCATTGTATAATATAGAAATTTAAGGTCATGTTATCTGTAGGAGAAGATACTGTGAAATTTGATAACTTGGTGTTAGGAGCATCTTTTTGAGTTTAAAAAAAGCATTCTTGAATTGAAGTGTCCAGACATTTGACCTATGGCTATATGACAGCATGAACTAAATAAAGTTATTTATCAAATTGAAGCTGCTATTCCCAAAATAAATACTAATATTCCCCCCTAAAGAGATTTTTAATTATACTCTTTCAAAGAAGAATTCACATGATTCTTGTCTGGAAATGAAGTACAGTTGTGCACAGTAATTATGTCAGGTATGGGAATAATAATTTAATTTATCTTTTCAGTATGAYGCTGTTCCAATCCAGTCAAGTGTGGTGTTATGCTCCTGTTCATCCCCATCGATGGTGAGGAACCAAGCAGATTCCAGCACTCCATCTGTCATTTCCACTTGTGGCAGCAGACAGGGATCTAACATGGAGGGCACAGCACCTGAATCAAGATCAAATTCAAACTCCTTGCAGCAACACACAGGACAGCAGCCTCCACAGCCTCGAAAGAAACGACCTGATGACTTCAAATTTGGGAAAATCCTGGGGGAAGGATCTTTTTCAACGGTAACTTTACTTTTTATAAGAAGTGCCAGATATCTTAGATAAACTTGAAAATTTGTTGTGTAAGATTGCTGAGATTGAAATTTGGAGAGAGCAACTTGAAGAGTAAGTGAATAGGACATAGCAGATTTAAGCTTAATGATTAAAATTAAGAGTCGCCCTAAATATGTGTGCAGAAGGCTTGCTGAAGCCAGCATAATATGAACACATGGTTAAATATTTTGCTGTGTTCCACATACCTTCTGGAAGATCAATATTAGTGTATGTGTTCAATGGACATTTACAGTATGTTTTCTTTKCTCTGGCAACAGGTTGTCTTGGCTCGAGAGTTGGCAAGTTCTAGAGAATATGCCAGTAAGTATTGACGCCTTTAACATGAACTTTTTGAAAATATGGTATCAATGTAATCCAGTCACAAAACACCTGTTGAACAAACAGAATTAGTGGTTTTATGTTAATTTTATGTAATCAAAAAACTCTGAAACAAGATGGGCTTCATTCAATTGTACCTCTTGCATTTTTACTCTCTTTTTTTCATTAAGTTAAAATTCTAGAAAAACGTCATATCATAAAAGAAAACAAGGTACCATATGTGACACGAGAGAGAGATGTAATGTCCCGTCTGGATCACCCTTTTTTTGTGAAACTCTACTTCACTTTTCAGGAYGATGAAAAGCTGTGTATCCTTTGCATATTAAAACTTGCTGTGACACTTTCTTAAAAGTAACAATGCCCAGTTTTTGTTCMTTTGAAACATGGTCCAACAAATGATGAAAATAACTTGAGGTGTTTAAAATATCCTAATGTATGTGGTGCACTTTTTGCAGTCATGCTTTTAACAGAAATTAAGCAGATCAAATGTGTGGGWCTTCTCAAAGAGAAGAGTAGGTGTCTTGTGGGACAGGGGGTAGCAATTAAACAAATTGTCCATGTAGTAAATGTTGCAGGGTGATTTAACAATCCTAGTTTAAAATAATTTAAACATTTAAATTGGAGGGTATGTATGAGAAGTGTTTTAGATCTGTTTCATTCCTGACATATRWRTGTGTGTGTGTGTGTGTATATATGTAGTAAAACACCCTAATTTCTGCATTTAAAATAGGGGTAGCCAGCTATATTTCCTACTAGTTTTATTTCTACAATTAGAACTCTTATTAAAATTTTTCTTGTGTAAAGGTGCTTATAGAATAATCTGAATCCTCTGCTTGGGCTACTGTTTCCCAAGCTCTCTCTAGCAGTAATTGCAAAGTATAGTTGTATCCTGAAGCTCATTGGTTGGCATTTGGGGGTTGTGGGGCTTTTTAGGTTTTTGGGGTTTTTTGTGGTGGTTTTTGGTTTGGTGTTGGTTTTTTGTTTTTGTGGTTTTGTTTTTT